CTGCTGCGCGCCGGCAGTGGCGGATCGCCCGTCCCGCCGGAAAGGCAAGGGGCGAGGCGAGCAGCAGCGCGGGCAGGAGGCCAAAGCAGAAGGCGGGCGAGCGCTCTCTCTCTCGGGGTCTGGCGCCGCGTCCGAGCCGCAAGGAATCCCCGCCTCTCCGGCCCCTCTCGAAGATCACATTTCACGCTTCCGACCGAGTCCCGACAGGGGGGCTTCCTTCCTTCCTTCCTTCCGAGGAGACGCGGCCCGGCCGGGCTCGTTGCGCCCTTTCCTTTCAGCTGACTCGGAAACGGCTGATGTGTTAAACGGGACAGATTCCTCCCGCCCGCCCCCGAAGAGGCTCAGTCCAGTCCAGTTCAATTCATGGGTCCTCTTTAGGTCTTTGGGAGACTTTTCGAGAGGGGTCGAGAGGGAAGCGTTAGTTTCTGCTCTTTGCACGCGGGAATAGTTTCCTGCAAGGGAAGTCTGGAGGAATCCAGCTCGGAGGCCGTTCGTAGAACGACCCCCTTGGCTTCCATGGGGTCGCTGTAGATTTCTGCACTTTGAAGAACCGACTTGGGGTTTGGCCTCCCTCGTTCTTCTATTAAAGAAGGATTAAACGGCGGATGACCCTGCGAGCGACCCCTGCTATTTGGAGCCTCATGCATTTCAGGGCAAATGATAACACCGCATGTATTCTTTAACTACACCCCGAGTGACTTGACAGCTGAATAGTCCTCTGAATATTCCGGGCTGACCCTTCCGGAACAGGTAGCGCACTTTCCGACTGCCCCTGCCGCCCTCTAGCAGATGGCATCGAGAAGCAGGTTGCTGCCCCATCACTCGCACTCATCTACAATGGAGCAAGCCAGCACCTCCTTTGGGTTGGAAGGGCACAAAGGATGTTGGTCAGCTGGTGCTTCACCCTTGCCCCGATGGTCCTCTGCCCTATTTCTTTTTTGTAGCAAAGGGGAAACCCAATCAGAGTGTAAGGGGAACAGCAAAACTGCTCTCATAAGTGACTGTGGGGGAGTGGGGAGGAAGGATGCCAAGTTCTTACAGCATTTTAAGGAAACAAGGGGGAAATCCCAGGAGCCCGGAGGTTCGTTCTTCAGGACAGAAACTTCTACTATTCCTGTTTTTTCAGAGAGCTGATGATGCAACAACTCAGGGGATGGGATTTGCAGCCACATTTGACGTTCAGCTGCTTTCAGATTTGACAGAATCGCCCTGCCTTTTGCACAACTTGTTCCTGAGGCATAGGAGGTGCTGGCTGTCTTTGGTAAGGTTAGTTGGTGGCTTGGTTTGGTTACAGTCAGGATCTTTAAAGCGACATAAACAATGGGACATAATTTGATTAGTGACATCAACAAACTGGTCAAGGATTTAAAATGATGTAATAAATCGACTCCATAAAATAAGCTGAAGTAAACCAGCGTGGCTTATTTATCTGTGAGGAATAGTAAAATCTGTAACTATTGTTAATTTTTGTTTGTTTGAAAAGTTTGGAAAGTCTTATTCTTTTGGAGCAAGAATATGGCCCTAAAACCTGAGGAACTGTGCGTACCTCTGGGATGAGAGAATTCATAAGTTGGGGGTACTACTAAGAAGGCCTGTCACCTAGTCCACCTTCCATGTACCTCAATAGGAGGGCAGACTCTCAGACCTTCTTTTGATGACCCAACTGGGTGGGCAGATTTGATTCCCTCAACACGTTGCCTGCTGTGACCTGGTGCTGTAGATTAGATCCAAGACAGCAGATCTCCTTGTTCTTTCTTCCATCTTCTGTCAAATGTGTTGTCGCCAGGATGGGCCAAGAATTTGATGGATATCGGACTCTTGGCAGAGTTTGATTTCCAGCAGATGTCAAGGTAGTTGAAATCTCCCATTGTCACCATTGTGTGTCTCTTTAAAAATGTGGCTGTCTGGCAAGAAAAGTCTCATATGTATCTTCTAACTGTCCAGGTGGTCTACAATAAATTCTGATGATGGCATCATTTTTGTTTCTCTTTCCTTTTATTCTTACCAAACACTCTCAACAGGGTATCCAAACTGGATTTGTGAACTTCTGCACAGACATAGACTTTCTTTATGCACAGGGCAGTACCTCCTCTCTTTCTCTTGAGTCTGTTTCTTTTGAAATACGCTGAACAGGTAGTCCTCACTTACCAACCCTAATTGGGACTGGCAACTCCATCGCTGAGCAATGTGGTTGTTAAGTGAAACATCACATGACTGTGCAGCTTAGTGACAGCAGTTCTGGCTGTCCCAGTTGCCATCGTTAAGTGAATCCTGCACAGTTGTTAAATGAGGACCCACCCTGATCCAAGCCATTCCCAGCTTGGTCCCTCCCAGTCCTGAGTCTCGGTTCTTCCAAGGCAAGGGACAATTTCATGGGATCCTTGAGCCAGAAGAGGGTGACTCGCTTCTCCTGTCCTCTGCAAACTGCCTCCACTTCAACTCCCCCCACCCGCCTATCTTCCTCCCCATCTCTGCCCTTTTGGCTGCCCTGTCTAGCATGGCTGAGATGAAGAGGGTGCTGTATTCTGCGTCTGCTGCCCCCAGCAGACCTTCTTCCTCTTCTTCTTCCTCTTCCTCTTCCTCGATGTCTGCCTTGCCCTCCCCTCCGTTGGGCTCACCAACGGTGGCTGGCCTCAAGGCCCATAAGCAGGGGGGTTCTGTCAGCCCTGGGCTTGCCCCTGCCCCACCCCTCACTGCTGCCTCCTCTTTGCCTGCCCCTCCAGGGAGGGCTCTGCATGACCCCTGACCAGAAGATGGGCATCCTGCTGGGCAGCTTGGCCAAAGGCTTGGGGGTACCTCCCCACAGTGATGGTGGAACTGGGGCTGAAGTAGAGGCCTGGAGCTTTCAGCAGTTTCAGCCCCCACCATTGCTCCAGGACCTCTACTTCCTCCTCCTCATTGCCCACCCTTCTAGGGAAGACTCTGCATGACCCCCAGACAGAAGATGCAGGGCAGCTCAACCAAAGGCTTGGGGTACTTCCCTATGGTGGCCACGGCAGCAGTGGTGGCACTGGGGCTGAAGTAGAGGCCCTGGGCCTCTTCTGGCCAGGGACGGCCATGCAAACACATCCAGATTTATAAACCCAAAGCCCGAAACCAACTGATTGATGGAGAGTCTGGCTCTAACTTCATTGGTGATGTTGCCACATTGCGACTCCACCCATTGAGACCTTTGACAGTTTCCTCCAAGTAGAAAAACTCAATGAAAAGTGCATCTCCCTGGCCCCTTTATTTAGGTGCATCTCTTTATCTGGTTCCTGTTTGTTTAAGACTGTTCCCTTGATTTATTATTGCAGCACTTCCAACAGCTTATGAAACTGGATGTATTGAAAAAAGGCAACAGCCATGGAACTTCTGTGAGCAGATTATTATGCTTTCTGTTTTAGGTTATTGTATTTTGATATTCTGAGGGTGAAACCAGCCATCTCAGAGATCGGAGGTCAAAGTTCTGTGCCTGTATTTTGACCCAGTGGATCACAAGTTATATCAACTAGTTACAATGATTTAATGATCATTGATCAACTACTTTGATGTTTTAGTGCTGAAGAATTCAGGCACATACCAAGAAATGTAGAGTTTAAAGAAGAATTTTCTTTCCCTCCAGCGATGGCTTTGTGGACAAGATAGATATAATCAGCTAGTTCTGTTAGTTTTATCTTCTCCCAGTCTTCTTTTTTCTTCAAACATTCAAAACGTTCATCATTGGGTAATGACTGTTGATTCATCCAACATATCTATAGTCAAGGAGCTCTTGAGTCACTAAATACCCATGACACTGATTGGCTGAAAGTTAAGGAATTTGCATTCATAAATATACAATGGATCTCTTGTGCAATCCAGATAAGTAATTTGTATACTTCTTCAGCAAGGTTTCCTGATGGGAGATATTCCTATTCAACACAAGATAGATGGAGAATTTTATTAATCATTTTATTTTTTTAAAATAATAAACATTTTCTTAAAAAAAAAAAAAAAAGTTGAGCAGAAAGCAAAGTCAAGTAAAAGTCAGTGGGATTTTTTCCCCCTGCCAGCTTGAAAAAGTCAGTCTTTGTACAGAAAGAGGATTATGTTGGAGTTGAATGATTTTAACTCAATCCTGTTTATAGTCCTTGAGAAAAATACTTTTGGTGGATTTATGGATGGGTGGAGGGGAAGCAGTACTGTGACATTGTTCTACAATAAACTGCTTTTGTGGATAATAGTTATCCTCATCATATGCCTTTGGATGGATTGATATGGCCAAACGTTCTTCCTATCTAACCCAGGGCAAGCTATCCTAATGTCTTTGGTAAATATAAATGTTTTTCAATCTTCTCCAGAGCGCTGACATTTGTCGGCATAATCCAGCTTCTTCCACACGCAGCAGATAATAGGGTGTAGAACAGTTTTGCCCAAGCTGGCAGCATCCAGATGTGGTAAAACTATACTGAATTACCTGAATGACCAGGCTGAAACCTCAGGTGGCTGTTATGAGCAGGAGAGGTCCCCACCCTTAACCTTGCCTTGGCATGACGCACTTCCGGCAGACTGGATAGCATAACTTATGCCAAAGAAGCTGGAAAACACTACTCATAAAACTAGAATAGGAAAAGATGACTTCAGGTGTCTTCTCCTACTAGTTAGGGGTGAGTTGAACGTGACATCGTCTGTTCATGTCCTCTAAGTCTCTTTGATGGCCTGTGGTTATCAATTCGTGTGAAAGAGCCCTGAGAGAGAAACCAAATTCAATTTGCTTGCAGTATGACTTGCTTTATTCATATGCATATCAGGAGATCCAGCAATGTCATATGCTCTGAGTGGGGGCCAGTGTAACAGTGATGGGGGAAAAGATACATTCCTCTTTGGAACATCTCTTCTACTATCTTCATCATGTGTTCAATCCTTAAATCTTGTGCCAAATCTCTTCCTGCCTCCTCCTGCTTCACCATTTGTGTTGGGCCAGAGCCAACAAAGAATCATAAGCAGGAATCACAAGTTAGAAGGCCATCCAAGAGTGAAGCCATATAAGATGCTCCTTTCTGGATGAATTCTGTTTTAATGAGTTGTTTTCTCATTGCATTATTGTTATTGTTTGTTTTATGGGAGATTGCTTTATTGTCAACTGTTCTTCTCATATTGATTTAGTTGAAAGTATTTATATTCATTGCAGCAAGACTATTATATGCACAACACTGGAGAAATACTGGAATGGCCACAATGGAGGAATGGATTGTGAAGATGGCAGAATTTGCAGAAATGGCAAAGTTTGCCTGTTTGATTAGGGATAAGACAATACATACTTTTATAAAAGATTGGAAACCTTTTATGGCCTTTTTGCTAAAAATGGGAAAAAATGAAATGGCGATTTCTGGATTTGCTGACTAAAAAGGGTTGAATATGGGATAGAGATGAACTATGTAATGTAATCTTAGAGAGGCAGGAGGAATAAGTTTGTACTGCTCTGAAGAAGATTGGAAGTCACTTCTTTAATTATCTCTTTCTTTCTTTCTTTCTTTCTTTCTTTCTTTCTTTCTTTCTTTCTTTCTTTCTTTCTTTCTTTCTTTCTTTCTTTCTTTCTCTGTATTGTCTCCCACCCTTTTTTTCAATCTTTTTCCTAACTTTCTTTTATATATGTTTTCATGTTTATCTTTTATTCATGTAAAAATCTTCAATAAAAATTATATTAAAAAGAAGAAAATAATTATGTTTATTTTCCTGCCAGCTTCTTTCAACTTACTCCCTCTGCATGAGGCCCTTTTTTTCTCTGCAAACCTCTTATTGCTTCTTTTGCAGACTCCCACTATCACTTGTAAGTACAATTTGTATGTCTGAGAGGTCAG